TCCCCACGCTCAAGAAGCTTTATGTGGGCTCCATAACTAAGTAATGCCTATGTAACCCGCATAATTATAGTAGTTTCCATTCTATTTTCCATTATCCCAATATAACCCCAATATCACCCCAATGGGGGATCTACTATGGGCGCATTCTCGTTCCTTTGGGAGAGGGTGCTCAACATCTAACGAATGTGTGGGTCTTCATTGTTCCCTCTCTTGAACTCTCTGGGTTATCTCACCTGATGCCTGCGCAGATTAGCCAACCTCAGCTTAACAGATGAAAGCTCAAGCCTGAACAAACCATTCGTACAAGGAATCACGCACAGCTTGAAATTCCCAAAGCCTTCAAAACCCCTGCCTAAGGCCTAAACCCTCAACCCTAAAACCCATACCCTAAAACCTAAACCCTAAACCCTAAGCCCTAAGCCTCATACCCTAAACCCCATACAAGCTCACCGGGAGCCTGAAACCCTGGACCTGGGAGACCATCTCCAGGACACAGGCTTCATGATGTGGTACCAACCTATGGCGCGTCAAAACACGCATCTGCCGCTTCACGCAATTTGGGGCTTGGGCTTCCGGTTGGAATTTGGGTTGTTGAGGATTTGTGTGTATGCCGCGTGCTGTTCAGGGTCCAGGGAATCTCTTTCTTTCACACGGCAATGGTGAAACCAGAGCCGTTTAGCCCCCTCTGGGTACTTCAGCCCGAAAGAAAGTGGAACTACTGACTTCCGCGGTGCCCGTAAGTTTTTCATGTTGCTCTGCCCCAAGCCAAGTAGTTTGCCTTGAGTTTCAAGTTTTTCCGGCCGCTTTCCTTTCATCCAGACTCCCAAAACAGCGTGCGAGGAATCTTGAAATTGTCGCAAGCTGATATTCACCCTGGCTTGGTGAGGAACAGTATTAAATGGGTTTGGTGGTTTTTGCTGCACAGTGTTCCAATTTAATATGTTTGGCTGCTTTCCGAGGGACTCTATTCGCAGGAATAAAGAGGGACCCGAATTTGTAAAACTTACTTGTCATGTCCTAGCCATGCCCTAGCCCGCATGAATTGCGCGCACACCACATACACACAAGCCTCAACACATCCTCCCCTCCATTTCTATAAACTGGTATATGTTTGCAAAGCCCTAGACCCTAAACCCTATACCTGGATCCTGGGATCCCTTGCTCTGCAAAGCCAACAACTGCTACTCTACACCTTACCTTAGTCAGGGTTAGTGGGGAATAAAGGATTAATCATGTAGGGATTACCTTCCCTTATTCCCTACTAAGCACCAGTAAGTTCAAGCCCTAGGTAGGGAAAAATCCAAGTTATGACCAGGTAGTATCTTATTCCTTTCGTCTCTTATACCTGCTATTCTAGATAACACTCGTGTAGTAGAGCTACCAAGTCCACGCCCAGTGGAGTCAAGGCAAGCAAGGTCTGCAAAAGCTTTCGTCTTATGCAGGCATATGGCTATTTCCTAAACGAGGGGCCCGTGTAACAAGAGCAGAAACGGGACCCCAACAATGTCATTTTTGTAGCCCCCTGCGCTTACTCGTTCTTAGTTGGGAAGAAGGGAATATGTTGCTTATACAACCCCTTTATAATGTATTCCCTTACTCCCTACTAACCCTAAAGCTTAAGCCCTGCAATATATTCCCTTATTCAATACTAACCTAAATCCTGAACCATATATATATATATTCCCTTATTCCCTAATTACCCCCAGTAAGATTTGAGTCCCGACCTTAGCTTTCTGTTGCTGACTGAATCGCACAAGACCCTTTGCAGGGCTAGGTTTGAAAACAAGTTTGATTTTCTTGCTGCCCTTAGTCCTATCTACTACTTATAAAGCCATACAAATCTAAGTTTTATATGGCCCCCAGACCTACCCTAGTAAACCTTGAAGCCCCAAACCTCTGGCGCCTCAAAATCCTGCAGAAGTTTCTAGTAAGGGCCCTGAATTCCACTATGCATCGGATTCTGTATGTAGGTTTTAAGAGTATTCCCCATCTATGGACGTGATGTGGGTTTTTTCGTGGTAAAGCGCTCATGCTTTGGTATAGAAGATGTGGGACCTCTAGTTTTGATTTGACCGTTAAGCCTGATTCCCGAGGATTTCTACAAGGATTGTAAAGGATGCCGCTATATGCGGACCAACCCTTTGGCCTTTCGACTTGAAACTAGGACAGGATATCTACAGCCCCAAACTTTGCAACCGGTTTAGGGTTTAGGGTTATCCTCAGCTGACCTAGATTTTCTGGGAGTTCTCAGAAAAGGAGTTTTGTACATTGGGGTTTATGTTGCAGGGTTTAGGGTTTATGGCAGTCTCACCAATCAAGGGTTCGTGGGTTGTACGCATAAGGTCGTACCCCTAAAATGTTTCCCCAACATAGGTTTAGGATAGCCCTTATATAGAGTCCCTTAAACGGATCCCCAAACCCAGGGGTACAACCGTAGGGGTACAAGCCTGAAACCCGTCGGAGCAAGGCCGGTGATCATGTCCTCGCTTGCCAGCCTTCCAACCATCACATGCGCTTACAGCAGCTTGTGCGATTCAAGGGTAAGGGTTTGGGTATCAAGCCTAAACCCTAAACCGCAAACCGTAAATCTTCAACCCCAAACCTACAGCCTAAACCCAAGCGCGGAGTGGGGCCAGCAGAGATCTTAAGACGTGGTTTCGCGAATGGGATACAGCCCTCTAGATAAAGTCCCCCCATTGGAAACTCCCCTCCTGTATTACTGGTGGTGCATAGTCTCAACAGCAGAAACTCCTTGATCTGAATCCCCTCGACATGAGGGGGTTGCTTAGAATTAGGGGTGCCTTTTTGGGGGCCCCTATAAGAATGATTGCAGTATTCTGGGGTCTACATTGGGTCCCACCTATTTAGGGAAACTACCATAAGGTTGAAGGGTTCAGGCGCGGGGTTGTGGGTTCGGGGCTCACATCTGATGTGGAATTTGAAGGCAGATGGCTGACGGGTGGCATGAGGTTTTCTTTGGACTTTATAGGATGTGTGCGAGCTGTAATTTTGTTCTCAGAGGTACTTAGAAGTCCAAAGTAGCAAGAAGTAGCATAGTACCGCAATCCGAAGGCCCAATTCGAAGTCTCCATATCAGACATAATTGATCTAAGCTCCTTAAATAAGGGACTACTATAGGGGTTCTTAAGTTGGATACTAGGAGTTTAGACTATCGCTCATAGAATCTGCTGTTAGTCTTCGGCTTTCCAATTTTTGGGTAGTTTCGTATAGTCCTTATCTTCTGAAATGAGGAACCCACGTCCGTCATATCCATGACGTGGAGGTTCATGGATGGACATGCGTATTCGTGTTTTTATGTAGGATACCTTTAGCTGTAGTGAGGTATGAATAGCCGACCAAACCACACCCATAACAATGAATATTCGAACACTGCAGTATAGGCCCCTAATATGGGCCCCTAGACCTTTTAGTGGGGTTCTAGGGACCCTCAAGGCTAACATAGGGTGTATAGTACGTATATTAGGATCCCAGGTGGTTGGAGGGCCCATGCTAGGGGCTCATGGTTTCAACCTTAGAATGTGTTGATGGGAGGGGAGGGGTTGCATGTATTTAACGGCGGCGGGATTCAATTGTTCAGCTTCCACACGGGTTTAGGGTTGAGGGTATCAGAGCTTTGTCTATAAGTGCTGCGCATCGAGGAGTGCCTGGGGATCTGTCTGAGGCAAAGAGGAGCAAATCGCCATTCTGACAGCCAATGTCAAGGCTTTGGAATCTTGAATTTATAGTTTCCATTTTCTCCTCCAGCATCCCGTATATACCACCTATATACCCCATTATACTATAGTAGCTTGCTTCATCAGCTAGTTTCAGGCTCGTTTTGGTTTGATGTTCGCTCAGCCTTCACCCGAAACCATTGGCTGCAATTTCTGGACACAAGATCTAAACCCTAAAGCCCGTAGCCGGGTAAAGTCCTGAACTGAAATCCCTGAATCCTAAACTAGTCTAGGTTTTTTGGTAAGCTCCGTAATGGAGAATCGAGCGGCAGATGGAAGCCAAAGGGTTTAGTGGCTAGGATGCTGCAGAGCCAAATGGAACTGAACGTATAAAGTGTAATTGAAACTGGGGTCATATAGAGGTTTATAGCAGGTAATAGGGATGTTTTGGCAACGCGAACCCTCAAATCTAGGAACAGATTCATATAGGGGCCTATAGGGGCCTAAGAAATTAC